AGAAGTTAGGAGGCCACTGCAATAATCCAGGTGAGAAATGATAGAGGCTTGGTCTAGGCTGGTAGCAAGGGAGTTGATAAGAGGTGGTCAGATTTCGAATGTATCCTGACGGCATAGCTGTAGGGTTTATGAATGCATTATATGCTGGCTATGAGGGAAAGAGGAATCAAGGATGACTCCAAAGTTTTAGGTCCAAGCAACCAGAAAAACAGAGCTGCCACCTGCTGAGAGAAAAGAGAACATGAGAGAAGTAGGTTTGGAGAAGGGGCATATCACAGTCTCATCTATCCAGAATGTTGGCAAAGGGAACAGTATTTTAGTTTTAGAATCTTTAAAAGGATATGACTCCCATATTAATAATTCCAATTCTATGTTAGTGCTGCATCCTTCACTCAATCATTATTATACTCAGTCACTCATCCATTCATTCATTTCTTTATTCAACAAATGTTTATTGAGTGTCAACTCTGTGTCAAACAGTGTGCTAAGTCTTGGGACATGCAGTGAGCAAGAGATACTTGATTCCTTTCCTTATAAAACTTGCAATCTAGAGGGGAAACAATAGACAAATAATTATGCAAACACATCTGTACCTATATCTATAATAATCTATAACAAAAAAGCATAATATGCTAATTAGACCGGACATCCTTCTGGACGAAGCCAGGGCTGCGAGGGAAGCCCGGGTCCCGGGTGCCAGAGGGAAGCCGGTGCTGGCAGCCAGGGGAAGGAAGGCCTAGTCTTTCATGAATTTGGCCTCTAGTATAGTTTATAACCTATAAATGAAGCAAGACAAAAAACCAAAAATTTACCAATAAATAAAGGTGTTGAAGAACTTAAGCAACTTGCTCATGGTTGCACAGCTGAGGAGATACAGGGTTGGAATATAAACACAAGTTGTCTCCTTCCAGAGCCCACATCTTACCTTAGTGGAGTGCTGGAATACCAGCCAGCATCATTCAGTAGAGATAGAACACAGCAGAGAAAGAGAATCAGAACTCAGTTCACAAGTCCTGCACAAAGGGTGTAATGTGACTGTCGCAGAACCTTTCTGGGGCTGGAGCTCCCTCATCTATTAGTATAAGATGATCTATAGAGAGAGGTCAGATGATCTCTAAAGCCCCTTCTGGCTCTGCCATTATGATTCTATGGTGCACATGGGTATCAAAATGTAGGAAAGAAGATGCGGAGGCCACCCAATTCTAACTTCACTTATTTCACAGTTCTGCCTTGGCCTATGCCTGTGTGTGAGTCTGGGAGTCCTCTGGTGCTCTATCCTGTGAAGGACCTAAAAGGTAGCAGGTAAAGTGAGAGTAGTGAGTAAGCAGGTAGGACTCCTCTCAGAGATGGGGTCAGGGTCGGGGTAAGCCCAAGAGAATGAGAGAAATCCAAGGATAGCAGATCCCTTAAATTGCCCCTCTATATTTAGGTGCCCTAAGAGCATGAATGGGCAATATATGCAACTCTTTTGTACATTTGATTCTGGAAAATTTAGATCCTTCATCTTTCTAGGCTGCAGTTTTCTCATCTGCAAAAACGAGGCCAGATAATTTTAGATTGGTAATCTATGACCCCGCCCTCCTATAACCTTAGCATTTCTGTACCCTAACTATACTAGTATGTCCAAAATAAAGTTCTGTCCTCTAGAATGGATCCTTGTCAAATCTTCAAGATTCACCCAAATAGTCATTTGTCTAACGGTGCAAGTTTGGTTATAATTCAAATCAAATATCCATGACAAAAGAAACATTTCCGTTTTGGTTAAAGAATCCCAAAGTTTAGGTACCTTATTTAGTATTATTTACATTTATTTATACAATATGATTTTTAATCACCATACATTGTCCACAAACATACTCTTCCTAGGACTCTGATAATGTCCCAAAACACCTGCAAAATGCCTAATCAAGGGAAATACGGGTTTTATTCTAGTTATTAATTACAAATTGCTTGTCAGTGTTGCTATCTTAATGAAATCAACTCTAGAATTGACATGTTCTGATTTTAAATGCCTAATTAAATCATTTAAGTGAAATAATGTCATTTTGTAAATATAGAAAATGAGTTCTACAAAAATTCTAGAATGGCTCCAAATCACATAGCACTGAGAAGAAAAACTAAATCCACGATGACTGCCTATAAACTTTGGCTCAAATCACTGAATTATTATCACCAGTGGTAAATACTGATTTTAAAAATAAGTAGCTCTGTTGTCAGAAAAACATATGAAGCTTTAGCTTTCTAGTAAAAGTAATAAAAGTAAATTAATGGGGAAAAAGCTTTACCAGTCACCTTGGTACTCACCACCTTCTACCTGAGTGCAATGGTAACCTGGGTTCCATTAATTAAACCAAAGACAGTCTTGCATATATGTGTTTAATATTCACTAGTAAAATCTATATGTAAATATTTTAATAAAGTTTAAGTTATATATGGTTAACTTAAACTTTAAAGTACAGGGGTAAAAATATGTGTACATTCAGTAGCAAAATATTATGAGCTGTTGGAAGAAACTATTTTGGTAATTCTAAAGTATTTTTTTCACCAACTTGTTCCTCTGTCCTAGAAACATCCAATCACCATATATTAGCAATATATCCACAAGAGCATGACATTATGACCTCCATATGGTAAATTAACAGAGATCCTACTCTAAAAAGTTACCATTTAAATATCCACAGAGATTCATGAATTTCATAGAGATATGAGTTGGGAGCTGCTAATTTCCATTGTGAGAAAATGGAAAACAAAACGTGCCTGTTAAAGAATATATACTTTCAAATGTTGATGAGCCCTGCCTTCTTTTCTTCCTTGCTCTCTCCAGCTTCCTCTATTTCCTCCCCTTCCAACTCATTCTCTTTCTGGCCCTGGCCAGGTAGTTCAGTTGGTTAGAGCATTGTTCCCAAGGTTGTGGGTTCAATCCCAGCAGGGATCAAACAAGAATCAACCAATGAAAGCATAAATAAATGGAACAAATCTCTCTCTCTCTCTCTCTTTCTCTCTCTCTCCCTTCCTCTCTCTCTAAAATAAAAATTTTTAAAGTTACATTTCCATCTCTCTCTTTCTTCTTTACATGTTCCCCTAATATAGCATGATACCTTTCTTTAAGATATTTTTCACTATGAATAATTCATCCATTTACCTACCAGACCTACTATGTGCCTGGCAGTGCCGACCACTAGCCATCAAAGAGGAATAATAGTGTCCCTGCCTTCAGGGCCCCACAGTTAATGAGCTGGAAGTGAGTCACTGTGATAAAAAACAAATAAAACAAAAGCAGGTAGTAGCTACCCTTCCCTGTAGGACATGTATTTTTCCCATCTTCTTTCCAGAATACTTGCTCTTCAAACTGTAAGCTCCCTGACCATATGTCAGTTGTTTCTGTTAGCCCAGCATCTATCTAACACAGCTATTTTCAACCTTTTTCATCTCATGGCACACATAAACTACTTATTAAAATTCTGTGGCAAACAAAAACCATGTTATGTTTTTTGCCAATCTGACAAAAATAGGTATAACTTTGATTCACTCACTCTGAACGGCTAATGTTTTGTTGGCTGTTGTCATTTTTTTATTTGACAATCTAAGAGAAAAGAGGTCACTGCCCCTGACCAAATACTACTCAGGCATTGCGTGTTTTAAAAATTCTTTGGCACGAAGGTTGAAAATTGCTGATCTAACACAATGCCTGGCACATATTAGGCCTCAGAAAGTGTTTTTGCATGAAGACATGAATAAATCTGACAAAATCAAACTGGGTAATTAGTATGCATCATACATGACTAAAAAAACAAACAAACCAACAATGAGATTTAATTACTAGTAGCTATCTCCCTCGCCCCGCAAAGTGTACCCTTGATACCAGAAGCTGAGTGGGAGTCCAGTTTCCTGGGTTCCTAGGCACAGACAGTGCTACTCCGGAAGATGCCCTCGTGGCTTTCCGAATAACCTCATCACATCTAATACAGACTCCCTGAGAACTTCCCCAGGTGAGACCAACGTGGGCGCGTGGCCGGCGCCGCCCTCCCCTGCTCTCCTTGGCTCTGCTCCTAGAAGGAGCGCAGCGTCTGTGAAGTTTTTTTCCCCCACTAGAAGTTCGGTCAGTTAAAGAACAAAACCTCTTCGGGAGTCGATTAAAGAAAAGGGCGCCAGGAGGAGCGGGACGTGCCCCGAAAACTAGTGAGCAGAATGCCTGCCAGGGGTCTCCGGAGCAAGCGGGTCTCCTGCGGCCGGGCCTCCAGGAGCAGCACCACGCCTCCGGGGAGCCGCGGCGGCGCGGGGAGGGCAGCCGCCCGTCAGCCTGCGTCCCCGAGCGCTGTCCTCAGAGCAGCCGCCCCATGACAAGAATTGGCCACCAAGGCTCCTGAGGCTCCCAGCAACAACCGTGGCGACCCGAAGCGTCACACACGCCTCCCCCTGGGACCACAGTCTCCCGCGCCCGGGCTGGAGCGTCTCTAAGGACCCAAACCTCCCACTCGGAACCCTTGCCTCCGGACAACCCCACCCCAGCGTCGCTGACCCGGGCGGGCTTCTCTCTCCTCTTGTTCCCAGTCTCCCAGCGTCCGGCAGCGCGACGCCTCGGCGC